AAGAAATCAGGTGCCAAAAGAGGTTTGCAGGGACAGGAAAAAATATGGTTATCCAATGCAGAGTTCATGAGCCAAGCACCAGATGAAGCACACACTACATAGTGGAGGAAGCTCCGAAAGAACCAAATGAGGTCTCTGATGGCATGCCAACCCAGCCAAAGAAGTCGCAAGAGAATCAGAGGAACTTTCCAGCCGCAAATCCAGGAGCAAAGAAGCAGCCATCTACTCCAGTTTCTCCAACCAAAAGAGGAAGTGGATATGGGTAAAAAACACAAGCATAAAATGCCAGTTCACGAAGTGGATAGCCGCGGCAGAGGTTACGAGTTTATCTATGCCTCTCAGAATGAGTTCATACAGAAGCAGATGAAGACTTAATAAAGAAGCAAAAAAGATAAGCGAAATTTATTTTTCTTAAGTATCAATTTTAGTTTATATCTAAGCACAACAATTGCTGATTTTTCTGAGTTTGGCCTGAAGTAAGGTTTGGTTTCGGTTCATTTAATTATGGCAAAGCACACTAGGGCTATCTACCTACGGGGAGGGATGCCTTCGTGGAGGACTTTCTAAGGGAAATTGGTTCGTATACACGTTGAACATGGGGAGAACCACAAAAACGCACATGCAGCCAGCCCGTTCGCAGGATTTGAACCTCGGACCGAACTACCAGTGTTCAGCGACTTTACCTCTCGGCCGCTGGTGGGCCCTATTGAAGTGAGGACATTTTAAATTTGTATACAACAAGAGGCTTTATTTTTTCTATGCAATAATCAAAATGATTTAAAGTTCTTAGTACATGCATGATACTGTGACTTTAGTCCAAGAGACTGTTTTGAGAAAATATTAGAATAACCATAGATTAAATTTAAGCAACTTCAGTACCTTATGATGTAAAGTGCAAACTAAGTAATCTTTTTAATATTAATGAATTGTAAATGTTCACAAAGTATGCTTGCTAATTGTCTTGTAAACATAAAAGTATTCTGTTAATTCAGATGTAAAAGAAAAATTACAGATGTATGTCTGAGATATTTAAGTGCAAGCTAGCAAGTGATAAAAGCTAGCATTGTAAATGTAGTTACTAAACTCTTTCAAGATGGCGTGCCTTTGTTTAAGATGTTGCCTCGGGACAGATGCGAGTCGAAAAGAGTCCAACAAGGCGCAGGTTTCAGTTACTCAGCCTAACTTTAGAACAAAAATGTAAGTCCTAACATATTTTTAGTACCATTTTAGGTTATTATTTAAGCTATCATACATGTTAAAATTAGCATTTAATAATAATTTTCCTTACATGAAAATATATGAAAAAATTGCTTACTTTGAGAAATAATTTTCAAAAGTGCTATTCAAATTATTCCAAAGCTTTAATTGATAAAATATATTACTAAAATAGCAAAATTAATAAAAAATACAAGCAAGACAATTTACAAGAAGATCTAACAAAATCTTTCACAGGAAGTGGATGGCAGACACTCAGTGAGCTCAGTCTCTGAAAAAATGACCGTAGGAGAATAACTAGAAATATCACTAACTCTTTCAAAAATGAATCACCTCTCTCATCCATGTCACTAATTGGCTCATTTACCATGCGAGTATGTCATTCCACTGATAAATTACGCTTACTCGCCATACTAAACTGATGTCAAAGCCTTCTGACACAAAACAGGAAATATGTGAAGTATAAGTAATGCAAAGCACATATTAACACTAAAAGGATCAACATAGCCAAAAAAAAAAATTTAAATAAGGATTCCAAGAGCTATCAGAAATGAGAATATTTATATCATGTCGTTGAGTTAAGGAGGCAAGCTATTATACTTTCCGTCCACTGCATCAGCTGACAGCAACATTACACAGAATGCAATCAAACTGAAGGTTAATATCCTAATACTATATTCAATTCAAAACTACTGGAATCAGGACACCATCTAGCGGTCTTTAAAAAACGTTTAGCTTAAAATGCATATATCCAGCACACATCCCTTATGTTCCCTCTCCAGTAATGTGCGAGTGGGATACCCGGCTGTGACAGACATTTGCAGGGAATACGTATATGAGACGCCTATCCAGAACAGGTTAAATGTTAGGATCTCCAGCCAATACTAAGGTTTTAGTAAATTTCAGGCTTAGCACATCAGGTACAGTCTTGAAATTAAGGTGTTAGTTGATATGTAGTGCAACTAAGTTATTAATGTGCAGGATTTCGGTCAGCTGGTAGTGTTGAAATTCTTGTACTTATACATGCAGTACACATGCTGCAGAACAAGGGTAAGAAAAATTAATTGTACAGAGAATGTAAGGTGTAAAAGCTTTTGATCAACCTGCAATCGAAAGAAAAGCTATGAAATGATATATTTTGCTAAAATATTTTTGCTTTCAGTTATGTGGAAGATCAGACACAATAGTAAACTATAATAATTCAGAAGTCAAACAACAAAAATCAGCGTTATATTTACCAAATTTTCACAGGACTAGTTTCGATGGTTTTACCGAACCACCATCTTCAGCTGCAAAACCGCAAATGAACCAGATAGGAAATAATGATTAGATAAGATAAGAAAGCCTGGACAAGAATAAGCAAGTGGCACCATCTGTTGGTAAAACCAGAACTAAAACATAATTTCTTTAAAGGCCGAAGGCAAATTTGGATTGGAATTAGGATCGTTAACTAGAACAGAAAGATTTTTATGAATGTGAAATGCCTCTAGAAAATCCAGTTCTCCAATGGAAGATGTTTTTTGAATAATTTTGGCAGCAGAAAAACTGAAAGTGTGGTTTTCGGACCAACAATGTTGAGCAACAGAAGACTTCTGTGTTTCCTTTTTTCTAACATGTAACACACACTATAAGAATTATTATTGAAATTAACCACTTATTTATAATTCTAGTCTTTACAATAACTTCTCATTTCCGTTTTCTCACCAGAAATGTAAATGAGTTAGAAAGGATTTAAGCTGAGGTTTCAGGATTGCAAGACAGAGCGTGTTTCTGCCTCTCGAAGAAATATTACTTAGTTTTCTCAGCTGAAGATTGAATTTATTCAGCTTTGTGTTATATCTGCCATCATTTAAATTGTTGTGCCAGTGAGAAGTTCTGAGCCAACTTAGATTTAAATTAAACTATTAGTCTTTGACTACTAGCCAACATTTTAAATTTTTAATTTGACTGCCACTTTAAGTTGCAGTGCCACAAGTGCTAGCTGATCCTGTGAAAGATGTGCATTTACATTCTGTAAATACAAAGGTTTGTTTTAAACCTTTTTAAAGCTCTGCAGTTCATTTCAGACACAGTGATAATTCACTTAACATCTGTTACGAGTTTGATACTAATTTATGCTACCAAAGAAAATAAAACTCTGTAAAGTTCTCTGGGATAGTAACATATGGTAAAATGATTGCATCATCCTTTGGAAGTATAAAAAGGAAAGCACAGACAGAAAGTATTAAAATATGATTTTCGAAAGCTGTTTTCAGTCAGGAGTATCTATTAATATTCAAAATACCAAACATTGTTCCACTTGAGATCTTCACAAAAAGAAGGTATAACTGACAAACATTTATGAACACATTGTTGCAGTCTACAATCATATAGGATCTTCATATAGTATAGTCAAAAGAAAAGCTGCCCTGCTTATTAGACTAGGAAAATTCCATTTAAAAGTGATCTCAAACCAGGTTATAAAGTAGATATAACCACTAAAGAAATTTGCACTGACTTTTGAGGAATATTTGTTTGAAAATAGACAAGTAACACTTCCCCAGATTATTGTGGAAATGGGTATCAGTATTGGATCTCTGACAAAAATCCTGCGTGAAAGGCCTGGGGTATCAAAGATCTACACCACACAAGTATATAATTAGCCAGAATGCTGATGCCAGAAATGGAAAAACATCAGATTGAATGTGCAAAAATGCTCTCCAGTAAAATGTAATAAATGCCAGTAAAAGTTTTTGATCATGGCTAATGGCAAGAGTAAAAAAATGCCTTCCCCCCTTGTGATTAAGAAATGAAACAAACAGCACAATATAGAAAAACAGTAGACCTTCCCAACCTCAAAAGTTGGAAACCCAGAAATCTATGGGCAAATTTTTCACATCATGTTTTGGGTTGAACAGGAACCACTGCTTATCAATTATATGCTACAAAATATAATAACAGGTTATTTATTATGCTAACCTGTTAACTCATATACAGCAATTGATACTCAGCAGAAAAGCATTGCTTTTACAAAACAACTGCTTTTGCATATGGCTCAGGTTTCGTAGTCTTTTATTCAGGAATACAGATTCCAGCTTCTTCTCCATCCAACATCATGTTCACCAGACCCTGCCTCAAATTATTTCATTGACCCCCCCCCAAAAAAAAGGAACCAAAGTAACATATTCTACAGTTTATGCTTATACTGGGGGAGGTGATGATACAAAGGATCCTATTTAGGAATGGTTTGAAGGCATATTTTTTTACCTAGAATCCAATACCTAACACACCAAACTGCTAAGTGCACTAAAGTCGTAAGGAACTATATACAGAAAAGCATAAAAAACAAGAAATGGGAAATTTTAGATATTTATCTTGTATTTATCTGAGGACTTAAAACTTCTTGATATCTCCCCATATAAATTCACCTAAATGGCATGGAATAAATTTTAAATGTCAGACGTTTTACTGCTTCTTGATACTTCTTTAGGAACCTAATGTGAAAGAAGTAATTTATGGTTTCATTTTCTGACAGACTTCCTTCAAACAATAATTATTTTTTATATAATTCTACACCAGTTTACGTTTTCATCAAATTTAATAATATTCCTTCAAGTAGTTTTTCATCATTTATTTATTCTTCCTTAATTCATGAACCAGTACAGTCCAGCTGAGGATTAAGTATCACACAGAGTTCGGAAAATTTTGAACACATTCTTTTTTTTGGGGGGGGGAGTAGCATTTTCTAATAAGTATTTTAAAATGACTGGAAAATTAAGGGAAAAATCATACAAAAAGAGCCATACTTCTCTTAAAACAGAGGAAACACTTTCACCAAACCTCTCTGCTCTTCTTTTCAGCCGCTCCAAATCAGTCAATGATGTCTGCAGAAACACATTAAAGAATCAATGTTGAGATTAAAAAAAAGTACTTTTTACCTGGTGTATAAACTATGCTTAAACTCAAAAAAACGAATACAAAACAGAAAAGAAATTTAACTTATAATGAACAAAACATCTGAATATCAAAAAATTCTGATTTAATAAAAATACAAGCTTTACAAGTAAGACAAAGAACGCATATGCATTAGCTAAATTTTATATACTAAGCCAATAACATATATGCACTTTTACATCAACTGAGAAATTAAGTGATTAGCATCTTCCCCCCCCCCAAAAACCTATTATCAAATTTTATATTCGGTACTAGGACTCGGTAAGAGAAACTTGAGATTTTCTTTAACATCATTATTTCAATTTTTAAAGGATTATATACCATTAATGGGGGAAGTCTGATGGCCAGAGTAGTTAACATACATGTAATTTTCTTAACTGTTGCTGAAACCATCAGTTGATATCCATGTTTTGAAATATAATTTATAGGCTTCAGTAACTGGAGGAAAACTGCTAATACATGACATGAGATTTGCCCTAGTTCTTCCAAAACACATAAAAAGAGTCTTAAAAAAAGGCAAATCTTGGAGAATTTCTAAGGGAAATTGGCTTGTATACGATGTGTTATACATACAGGAAATCATAAAAACCCAATGTAGCTACAGTATTCAGCTATTAGTAACCGAGACTTCTTCTATAAACTACTTATCATGTTAAACAGACAAAATTCAAATTTTAGATTTGGAAATAATTGTATTCATTAGAGGAATATACACAAAATAAAAACATACTATGAACACTATTAAATTTGGAAACTTCTGAATGTATTCAAGAGCTGTTAATTTATAGTTTAAAAGAACAAATTCATATAAATTAATTATGGTACAGGACATGAATGATTCTTACACTAGCAGCTGAAGTATGAAGTTTGGCGACACCGCTTCGAATGGCAGGTTTTTCAGACCTTTAAAAAACAAAAAAAAAAGGACAGACTTAAACTTTGATGAATGTAGAAAAATTCATACAATTAACAAAATCAACTGAAACATAACACTAAAACTTGCAAAACTTACAAGAAACATAACACTAAAAAAAATGTATCCAAACTTACGCAGAAAAAACAATAGGGCTGTATCGTTCAGCTTTAACAAGTTGTTTCTAAAAAGAAATTAAACCATTATTTTCACCAAAAAGCAAAGATTTTTAAGAAATCTAATTACAAACTGAATATCATTAATACTATGACAAGTATAACAGCTTCATAAATTTCTCCACATACTGTAAGCAAAATAGCTGTTAACATTTAAAGAACATAATTTGAAAACACAATTTATAAGAAGCACTTAAAAATACAGATAACAGTTTGAACTTTACGGCAACTTTCAATATAAAAATATGGTCTAATGTAAATTTTCACAGTGTTATGTCATCACAGACTTAGAAGCAAGCACTTCAGGGATAAATACACACATTAATCTCTAAATGTCAAACCTAACTGTGAAATACTTAAGTAAATACTCATGAAGGAAACTGTAATAACTTTCAAAAAGACCTAGCAACTAATTTAATAAACAATACTTTGTATTAGTTTACGTTCAACAAAATGCAATGCACTATAAGAAATGCATTCACTCTTGTAACAAATTTGGCACAAATAGAGCAGAGTTAAATAAATACATCTAACAAACCAAAACTATTATATATTTTAGATGCTTCATAAAAACGTGCCTAAGCCCTTCTAAGCATTTGATGCTATGGGACTACAAACAAGCTAAAAAATAATCAGGATTCGTACACATTTCTGCACACGGAAATTAAGGACTTTTAAGGACCATTAATGAAAAAACTGAATAAATTCAATTAAAAATACCATCTATGCCTGAATTTCACTTTTGTAATACCATCCTAAAAATAAAATAGGTCCCTAAGTAGTATGCACTATTACTAAACATGAATTAATTAACATAATTATTATTGTATTTGCCGGCATATAAGACACACTTTTTTTCCTAAATTTGGTCTCAAAAAAGTTACCTGCGTCTTATACGTGAAGGACACAGGTTAACTTACGATACTGAAGGCTATTTTTAGCCCGGATAAAGGTCTAGACACGCATAACGTTTTCTACATCTGCCATAATTATTTTGCACATGCGTTAAATATCTGTCGCCAAAAAGCGCCAAAGCTCGAAGCTGATGTCGAAGTTCGAACAGGTTTGACGGTCACATTACGTCTATGGAGCCTTTCCTTCTTTACATACACTTTCTTTGACTCAGCCGACACACGTGTCGGTATTGGTGCTACTCTGCGGTATCGGTGTTTAAGACTGTTTGTTTTAAAAAAATAACCTGGAAAATATGACTACAGGAAACAAAAAAATTAAGCTATACAATTCAGCATAAACTAGGAGTGTTAAACTACGCAAAAGTGCATGGAAACAGAGCAGCAGCAAGGCATTTTGGTCCACCACCTACCGAAAAAATAGCTTGCCGTTTGTTAATTTTCCTTAATAAAAATATGTTTGGTAATTGCATTCAATGAGTGTTTATTTGGCTTTTACGAAACGTGAGAACTAAAAGAAACCACCAAACACGCGCTGTCACGTGGACTATTGAAACATTTTTTCCGTGTGTGTGGCCTTCTAAATAAGGGTGTGTCTTATATGCCGTCAAATACGGTAATAAGTTTAGGAATAAAATAAGCTTTATACAATTTATCAAGCAGCATTAAATATTTTACACTTATAATAGTTGGACATATTTGAAAGAAGATAAGTGACATTTATGTTTTACTAACAGCTTTATGTTGATTTTTTTTTTTTTTTTTTTTTTTTTTTTTTTTTTTTTAAATCTCATTTTGTCACATACTTAGTCTAGAGGTTTAGTAAATATCAGGCAGATTTTATGTCAAACGGCATAGGTTAAAATGAGAAGTAAGATCATTATCAGCATGATTCATAACCAAAAGATTGAATATTGTCACCGCTGCTGCTTGTCTAAAGAGAGACCTGCTGATAAGAATAAACCTGAAAGGCCTGATGTAGGCATGGTTGGCAAGTGTTGAATGTTAGTCAGGCTGTGTTTGATGCAGTTAGTGTCCAGTAGTGTAAAGTTCCAGGGGTTGTAACCAGTTAATATACTTTAAGGTTCCAATAAGCCATCAAAGCTCCAGAGCTGATAAGTTGTTTTGTATTATTTTAAGTCTCACTAGATGCAAAGATTAAGTTTTACTTGAATTTTTACATTTTTGTGTTTTATCTTCTGACCACAGTGAATATTAATGAAGTGCAATAACTCACATTAATACGTAGAGATACTTTTTAAGGGTACGCTGTAAGGATCTAAAGTTTTACTAATGTTTATTTTTATTTTAAATCTTTACTATCACTTCTTATTTTCTACTTCCGGCCAGAATTAAAAGCTTTAACTTATTTATGCAAATTTGTCTGGCGAACGCCAAGTACTTAAGTTGTGGCTTTTTGCCAAGCGAGAGAGAGGAAGGAGTTAGTCGAAGCAGGCCGCTTACCTTAGCAGTTTTACTAGGTTGCTGGTTGCCTTCCAGGCCAGAGGTTTAATCCTCGTGATAATTTTAAACGTATTGTAGTGTTAACAGTTCTCTGTACTACATACGGCTTCCTGTTAATATACGGCCAATCTTCCACGTAGGCCCTTGTTTATTATTCCAAAGTTAAGTTGGAGTTTAGTTAAATATTTTTATATTCTTACGTTCAGACCACAAGTAGTTGGTCTCTGTATTCCGAAGTACGGAAATTATTGTAAAGAGTGAAAAATAAAGGGTTTCGTATACCCTTCCTGTGTATCTTGTCTACTTCCCACATTTATTGAACATAGCTTTAGTAAGCTCCCTGTTCCGAGTCAGGGTCTTTGCATGTTCCCAAAGAAAGTAAGGCGGAACATAGAACCTGATAGTGGTGCCCAACAAAGAAGAATTAACCATGGCCGAGTTTCAAGAAGAACCTGTGCTGCCTACAGAAGCGGCTCAGAATCCACAAATGCCAGTTACCGCCCTGGAAGGATTTGGTTACATCGTTCAGACCATGCGCGCTTCGATGAAACCAGAAGCAACATTTAATGGAAACTCACCGGTTACCAGTTTTTTTTGGAAAAACTAGATGACCACTTCATGCTCTACCCCGTGCACGAGTTTCAGAAAGTTACCTTAGCTACCAGCGCTTTGAGGGGCCAAGCGCTTAATTGGTTCAAATGTATAGGCAGAAGTCTCTTGGGTCAAGCAGGAAGTCCCACCTATACTTACGAAAATTTCAAGACTGCCCTAGTAAAAGCCTTCCCTGTCGTAAGGGATCGTGCGAAAATTAGAAACGGAACTTTTCAGCATATATCAGCAAAGAATCGAAAATCTCTCAAGCTTTATTTTAAGAAAAATTCACGTCTTCAAACTCTTGTATGGAAACCGTCCGGATCCTGAGATAATTCAAGTGATTTTGCCGAGGTTACTTCCCCAAGTGCAAGACTTTATTGAATTAAGGAAATCCGACTACACTGGAAAAGTTATTTGAGCTAGCAATCCAGTTTGAAAGTAGAAGAACGGCGGACATTGAAAGAAGACGCCAATATCAACAACGAAACCAATTTGGTGCGCCAAGACTACAGCAAACTCAAGCACACGGCTACGGAGAAAAGCGAATCAGTGGGCAAGGAAACCCGAGCATTCAAAAAACAGCCGGCGAACGTCGACAGTTCAATAGCAACCCAGGAAAAAAGTCTCAAGGCCAGGGGAAAAAGAAGGAAAGCACGGAAAGAAAAATAATTTAAACTAAAACGGATTTCTGCTGACGAGAGGGTGCGGAAATCCGAAGGCCACGAAAACCCCTCTTCCTACAAGTTAAATACAGTAATGGTGAAAAATTTGACTCTTCCGAAGATTGAAGTGTTGGTGAATAATATCCCAGCCACCGCACTCCTGGATACAGGCGCGCAGTGTTCCTGTGTGGCAGAAGATTTTTTTAGGAAGTATTTTCGTAAATATCGCATATATAATTCGGATAATACGACAGTGTTAGCTGCGCAAGGAGAAAGATGTAAGTGCATAGGTAAATTACCGCTATACGTCCGTATCAAGGACGAACAAGTAAAGGTTATGTTTTTTATAGTAAAGAATCTGCAAGCACATATTATCTTAGGAATAGATTTTCTTTCAGAGGCACAAGCAACGCTGGATTTTAATGAAGCGTCCCTTAAGCTGACGATGAAACCAGTTCGAGAAGAAAAATCGGAGCCGCCGATGTTAAACCTTGACCACCTGCCTAATGAAGAGCAACAAAGAATCCGACAAGTGGTAAGTGAATTTGCTTCGTTATTTAGTGATATTCCAGGATTTACTCAAGTTACTAACCATAGTATTGACACCGGAGATTCAATGCCAGTTCGCCACAAAGCATACCGGTATGATAAGAATAAAGAAACAATTATAGAATGGCACATCAGCGATATGCTACGTAAAAAGATCATAACGCACATCTCAAGTAGTTATGCTAGCCTGGTGGTTTTATGTAAGAAAAATAATGACTATCCATTAACACATCCAAAAAGGTGGCGTTTCGCGATTGACTACCGTAAATTAAACTCCATAACTAAATATCCGGTATATCCGTTACCTACCTATTGAAGAAATTCTAAGGAACATAACGTCGACCAAATATATGACGACTTTAGACTTAACGACTGGTTATTTTCAAATAGGGGTTAGACCGGAGGACATGCCTAAGACTGCTTTTATAACCAAGTCTGGCACTTATGCATTCCTGCGTATGCCGTTTGGCCTTTCAGGGGCACCGGCAACATTTCAGCGATGTATGGACATTGTGTTAAGGCCTGTTCTTTCGGAAAATCAGCAGCCCGTGGCATTTTTTAGTCCACATTTATCTATTTAGACGATATCATTATTACTAGTGATAATCTGGACCAACATGTACAGGATTTAAGACAGGTGTTTTCTTTATTAAATGAGGCCGGTCTAAAAGTTAATGTCGAAAAGTGCAAATTTGCAGCCCCTGAATTAAAATATTTAGGTTACAAAATATCTCAGAAAGGAATCGAGACAGACGAATCAAAAATAATTGCTGTACAAAAGTATCCGACTCCAACACGGCGAAGAAGCTCTCTTCTTTTCTAGGACTT